TTAAACTGTATTATTTTATTATCTCGATTTCTGTAGGACTTTTATTACATTTTGTTTTTTTTTGAGAAATCAACGTCTTTCGTAACAGTGCATATGTGGTTAAAATTCGTCGGATAAGTTGTGAAACACCCTGTATTTTGTAATGTTACTCGTAAATCAGAAATGTTTCATTGTGGATCATTTCTTTACTGCTTCATTTTGAGCCATACAGTTTCGATAATATTTAAATCAGGAAGGCCAGTCAAGGACAGAAACATTATCCTGCAACCAGTTTTTCGTGGTTTTGGCCGTATGACATGACGCGCCATCTTATTGAAAAATAAAGTTTCTATCAGGTGATACAATTGGAATCAAAACGTCAAATTGTAAATTGTTCCCATCGCCAAAACAATTAAGTTTCATCCTTACAAACATAAACAAAGTTTTAGATAATTTCCGAACATTTTTGTCAGGGCTCGTGTATGCTCATATAGACAGCGCCACCTGTTAGAGATTAACCTTTTCAAAGTATACAAAGTAAATAGAGAACCAGCTGTGATTCTCATTTTATGAAGGACATTTTTGTGGAAAATATGTTAATCGATGCTAATACGGGTATCCAATTTTTATGAACTGGTCATATCGACCAGGCTAAAGAGGAAACTGATAGCCACAACGTGACAAAACTAACAACAATTATTATTCGGTTTAAAGATAGAGAAGAAGTTTCCGTAGTGAGATATCGGTTATGTAGCCTTTTGCGAACTATATAAATATGTGTTTAATCGTCTGATGCAATTTAGACTAGTTTATTGATATGTGTTTTATTCATTCAGTGTTGTGTGCTGTATTCATAGAATTGTATTGTGAGTATTTTAAGCACGTATTTTAAAGCATTTTTTTGATGAAAAATAGTATACACGCTGTATGATAACGTCTGACAAAGCGATCTGCAGACAGTCGTGAAGCCTCGGTAGCATTTTGAAAATATCATATATTAAAAGTATGCCGACAAGTTCGATTTTTCTATACGATTGTGCCATTTTGGCTTTTCTGAACCGATTGGTAAATAGATGTTTTGTTTAGCTACGCCTGGCGTCGTGCCTTCTCACTTTTGATGTGATTGAGATACAGGAGCGGATTAGGTTTGATTGATTTTTCGGAGATTAATATTTCGGTTATTAACACTTTGGTATATGTACAGGGTGGGCCATTTAAAGTGGAAGCATTTGTTTATAAAAAAAATACTTTCTGTTGCTCATTTGAAAAGTATTCTGTTTTGATCCAAGGAGATTTGTTGTAATTACTTTTCAAAAATGATATCGCGCAAATGGCCACCTCTGGCCTTGTTAACCAAATGTGCCCCTTTTTCGGCGTTTTTCATCACGTTGGCCAATGTTTCGGCGGATATGACGGCGATTTCTTGACGAATATTGTTCTTGAGGGCAGCTAGAGTCCTTGGCTTGTTAGCGTATACCTTGGATTTCAAATAGCCCCACAAATGAAAGTCTGGTGGCGTCAAATCAGGTAATCTGGGTGCGTCAATGGTGAGCGTTATCGAGCCATGACAAGCCATCTTCAGCAGTACGAGTAATATACATCAGATTAGGCTTGTTTGAATAACTGGATTCAGTGGTTCCGTTCTCAGCTTATGACTTCCCAGCAAAAACTTCTGAATTAACATTCCCAACTCAATGTAGCTATTGTTTTCCATAAAAAGTACATAATATGTCCTTGAAAAGTCCTCGAAAATTTGATATCCAAGTTTCAATAACATAATTGACCATAATGTTCGATATCAGTATTAAACTGTACAATGTTTCTGATAATAGCTCAATTGCAAATGTGCTAGCAATGACTCATAGAACAGCGTAAATCATTATTGGAAAATGCTTTGCCCAAAGCTTGCATACCGTCGTTGTTTTGATGAAACCTCCTATGTAACAAATTTCCCACATACGAGCTTTCTGAATCTCTGTATAGTCAAATATGAGCTCTGTGATCTGATATACAAGAGTGTCATACTGAGAAACTCTAGTAATTCTGTAGAGATTCATTAAAAATCGGTGTGGATGGCGAAACCAATTTTTTAAATTTAAACGAGTTTTTGTCATTCTGTAAAAACTGCTTCTAAACATATACAGGGTGGCGCATCGAAAACGAAACAGACGCATTTACTAGCAGCTTAGTTTTTTTTTGAAAAACGCTCAGACCCGTCGATTTTGTTTTCGAGGGGGACACAAGTTTGGCAAAAAAATCACGTTAGCACGTGCAGCCCCCTAAGCGGGGGTGACACCACCCCCGAAATCTTAAATGGAAAGGGGGGTCGAGTAATACCTTATTTTAAAGGTCTTTCAATTCCCTTTATAGTGATATAAAATTAAAGTACTTCAGTTCAGTAGTTTTGAAGATTTATTGATTTGAAGCTTAAATAAAACTAATACATCATCATTAGTGGAGATCAATACATTTGGCAGCAAGGTAATTTAAAAATGAAGAATGAACTGATCCGTTAGGCAAGTAAATGTTGAAAATGGCCACCATGACTCTCCATGCAATAATAAAGATTTTGCTCAAAACGTTGCCGCACATTTTGCAATATTTGTGGAGTAATTTGAACGCACTCATTCACAATTCTTTGTCGCAGGTCTTCTAATGATGTTGGCTGAGTAGCATAGATTTTGCTTTTTAAATGACCCCACATAAAGAAATCCAAAGGTGATAAATCTGGCGATCTTGGGGGCCGTTCAATGGCACCTCTTCTACCAATCCATCCATCTGGAATCGTCTGATCTAAATATTGTCGAACACGTAATGCGTAATGTGGTGAGGCACCATCCTGTTGGAACATCAACCTATTCGCAATGTACCGCCGATCATTCTGATTTTCAATTATGGCTGTTAATGCAGGATCTATGGCGTCTTCCAGTAATTCCAAATACATTTCACTGGTCAAATTTCCAGGTAAGAAAAAAGGACCAACTAAATGATCGCCATAAATACCAGCCCAAACATTTAATTTTTGTGGCTGCTGTGTATGAACCTCATGAATTCTGGGACTAGAATCGGACCAATATCGGCAGTTATGGCGATTTACTACGCCATTTACGAAAAAGGAAGATTCGTCGGAATAGAAGTGTTGAATAGAAAATGTTCATCGTTTATAATTCGTTTACTCATAATATCATCACAAAATTGTAATCGCCGATCAAAATCGTCTTCATTAAGTTCTTGTACCAGGTGAATTCTATATGAAATATTTCTGCTATTCTATTAGCGCACTGATTATTTCCGAAAAATATTTCGATAAGTTCAACTCTTTCTGCTGTGGAATATACCATGGTTAATTTATGTAATAAAGCGTTACAAGTTATTTTAGCAACAAGGTTTGGTCAAATCAATCGCAAACTATGTACTAAATTCCTATTTAAAATAAGTACGAGATATTTCCTTATCTTTTTTCAAGAAATAACTTTTTTGCTACAAAAGAAAACGCTCCAATAGCTATTTTCAACAACAAAATGATAAACAAACCATGGGCGTAGTGAAGAAAAGCATTTACTTATTAAGTAAATTCTTTTAGTCAAATTTCTGCTGAAAGTAATACAAACTAATCTAATGTACCTATTAAAGTCTACTTTAAGTTTTAAATCAATAAATCTTCAAAACTACTGAACTGAAGCTCATGTATTTTACATCATTATAAAGGGAATTGAAAGACCTTTAAAATAAGGTATCACTCGACCCCCTTTCCATTTAAGATTTTAGGGTTGGTGTCACCCCCGCCCAGGGGGCTGCACGTGTTAACGTGATTTTTTGCGAAACTTGTGTCGCCCTCGAAAACAAAATCGACGGGTCTGAGCGTTTTTCCAAAAAAAAACTGAGCTGCCAGTAAATGCGTCTGATTCGTTTTCGATGCGCCACCCTGTATGTGTTTTCATCAAAACAACGACGATAGGCTTGTAGGTTTGTCCCTTTCTTTCTTATCCGATCTTATAGAAAATGTGTATAAAAAATCTGGCTTAGTACATGAGAAGAGTAAGAGTCAAGGAGCCAGCAGATTACTAAGGATCACATTTATTGAGGGTTGAGGGATGATGTCTGCTTGCATTTTAAACAAACAATAACGCTTCGTTGAAGAGCGCTTAAAGGAGCGTTCAATAGTTGCATTTCACTTTAGTGTAATAGTTGTTTCTGTTGGTCAAGGGAAAACTTGTATAGTCACTCTCATGCAGAAAGGTGCGACAGCACTGTCCTGTAGGTCTTTTCTACCCGAAGTGTGAGATTCTCCGAAATGCGGATACGTGCAGTGTTCTCACTACAGTGAATTCTTAAGTGTCACCAAATCATTAGAAAAATGGAACTCAACCGAGAACGTTTTCGCGCCATAATTTATTACAACTTTCAGAGACAATTATCGCAACAAGAATGCCTTGCTGAAATACTGTCTGTTTTCGGCAACGAAGCGCCACATCAGTCGACAATTTCCCGTTGGTATGAAGAATTCAAACGTGGACGGGTGAGTCTTAGCGACGATCCCAGGGTGGGTGCATCAAAAACGGCAGTCACCCAAGAAAACGTCGATCATTGAAGATAGACATGTGACATATCGCGAGATTAAGGCGTCCTTGAAGATCTCAAAGACCTCAATTCAAAAAATTTTACATGAAGAATTAGGAGTAGGAAAATTAGTTTCTCGTTGGATACCCCACCTGTTGACTGAAGAGCAGAAAGCCGCCAGGGTTAATTGGTGTCAAAAAACGCTTGACCGGTTCAATTCCGGAAACTCAAAAAATGTGTACAGCATTGTTAGTGGTGCTGAATCGTGGATTTAGTGGTGCTGAATCGTAGATTTACTGTTATGAACCAGAAAATAAACGGCAGTCGGCTGTTTGGGTGTTCCAAGGTGAAGAAAAGCCAACAAAAGTCTTCCGTTCTCGAAGTGATTCGAAAAAGATGGTCGCGACATTTGTGTCAAAAGCGGGTCATATTGCAACAATTTCTCTTAATGAGCAAAGAACTGTTAATGCAGATTGGTGTACCACCATTTGGTTGCCAAAAGTCATCACCGAGCATCGAAAACTCAACCCCAAAAGAAGAATCATCCTCCCCTAAGACAATGCAAGCTCGCACACAGCCCAAGAAACAAGGCAGTATTTAACGGAAGAAAACTTGGAATAATTGGACCATCCTCCATATAGTCCTAACGATTTCTTTACTTTCTCGAAAATTAAAAACAGACTGCGTGTTCAAAGGTTCCAGTCACCAGAAGAAGCAGTTGACGCATTCAAAAATGCCGTTTTGGATCTGCCAGCAAACGAGTGGAATAAGTGCTTCGAAAATTGGTTCGAGCGCATGCAGATGTGTATTAATCTTCGTGGAGAATACTTCGAAAAACAATAAAGTCATTCAAAGCTACCTACCGTGCTGTTTTATTTCCATATGCAAAACTCAAAAGAAATCCCTCGTATTGGACATCGAATCATCTAATTTTTTGTTTATTCAATAATAAGCTTCATATTTACAATTTATTGTTTATTTTATCTGCAAGATATATTAAAACCGTAAATTGTTAGTGCCATACAGTTTATATCCTGTATCCTTGTTTAAGAATAAAGCTTTTATTGGTGATTGACAATTTTACTAAGGGCTCAGTTTTGGAACCAATTTTTCAAATTAGAGAATGTAATGTTTCTGGAATTTATTTTTCTTAACTATAATTTTCAGCTACAATTCATAAAACAATTAAGTAAATGATGTTTATGAAATTATGGGTAATTTGAAAAAGAAACAGGATTTGTTACGCTGTCGTATCCTCTCATCCTACCAAGAAAACAATTTTTATACAACTCTTCAGTGATCATCAGATTTCCCGTGATCGTAATAAGATGATTGAGCACATCTCGTAACATTTACTTTTTCTCATTTAAATCATTCAGTATAACTAAAAACGTGATCATCGTCACATAGTCTGACGCATTTGCATGAGATTGAACACATACCCGGACATAACGGTAAGCTCCAAGTTCAGGTCACACAGCATTAAAAAATGGTATTGAGTGGTGATACCATGCCTCCCACGCAATGGTACTCTGGGCGTCGAATTAGCGGGCCACTATACAGGGCGTTCGAAAGATTTTAGAGGGTGATTACTTGTTAGAAAACATGGAAAAAAGTTTCTATAAACATGTGTAAGCTTACGAAATATCTCAAACACATTTTTGCATGCGAGTCCAACCCTGTAGCACACAAAACCTTTCCAGAAGGTTCACAAGGCTGCTTAGTGTCACTCAGCGCTACGGCCCTTACGCCTGTTTATATTACACATTCCATTCCTTCTCTGGGTACTTGTTCCCAGGATAAACTTTCTTAAAGATACGGGCGAGGCTGGCGATGCAGTTCAATTATTGCGTGGAGGAGATCGCTTCCCAGACCAAGTAATGCGCTTTGTGGACTTGATTACACTGTTGATGTGCTATTGGGTGTAGTGTTTTGGTTACCTGAAAGGTGAGCAACCACTGAGTATTTCTTTCATTCTGCTGTACTGCATGGATTGATAACTATAACACTTTTGTATTCATGATCATGAATGTCGTAAGCCATATTTATATAGAAGCTTTGATCGTATAGCCCTAGTTATAAACATACTTTGAGCATATTCATATTTACAAAGATGCTTTGATTATATATCCATAATTATAACGAGGCGCTGATCATATATCCACATTTATAAAGATGCTTGGATCATATATTCATATTTCTATCACTGGCTTACGGACTCAATAATTGCGGATAAGGATAGGGAAGTTAGGTGGATCATACAGGGGTGACGCCTCCAGTCTCTGGGGGTTGTTATGGGACTTTCAGTACCCGATTGCTGGGTTTAAGTGGTTATGTTACTGACTGCTCGGTTTCCTCTATCAGGGGAAACGTCGGTGCGCTTGGGATGTTGATACGGTTGACCGCTTAACCACCTTCTCTTCGTAATCGCTGGCATCTGAATGTATCCCATGGCAGGATGTGTGAAGAGATTGTTACTTTAAATGGTCATCTTGCTCAGTTATCTCTGATTCAGGGGTAACGTCGGAGATTTGGGGTATTGACACAACGGCCGTTGGCTAACGTGATATCCCGGTTCCTGGACTATCTTTTTAGTAACAATCGTTAAACTCAGCATATCTGTCTATACGCCTGGATATCACATAGGGTGCTGTGTGCTTAAAACTATGTTGATCAGATAGGCTGCTGTGTGCTTAAAATTGCCTAAGTAGAGGACTGTGTGTCCCAGGGGGGGTGCACCCATTCTTAGGGTCTGCGGACCAGTATATGATAAGGCAAAAGTACATAATGATGAATTGGTACCACTGCGGATAATTAATATGATCCTAAGGTAGTGCATGTTATGAGTCGGTTGAATATGGGAGGTACTCAAGTCATTTTTCTATAAATAGATATTGGCCCTGACAATCCGATCGTATCGCCCTTATCGCTTGCCAAAGGAGGATAACTCGTTGCCGTTCCGTCACCAAGTAAGTGGCTTTAATATCATCCTGACATTGTTGCCCATATCGAATTGTTCACGTACTGCCCTTGTAGTAAAAATGAAATGGCACAGGGTGATACTTCGATGGGATTGTGGTTTTCACGTTTGTCGTTATATTTCTAATATTATCATCTCGTTCGTATTCTACACATGGGTCCGCAAATGCAGCGTTTTCAAGGTACATACAGCCTTGGCCAGAAGTATTGAGCACCCTAAAAATATTGTAAGGACGCTATAATGATAGATGAAAAGAAAAACTGAAGGTTACAAAAATATTTGTAGGTATCCAGACCGGTTTGTAAACAATACCATATCTGCTTACTATCGCTAAGACGTCTAGTTTTTTAGAGATTACTCAGTTTTACCTTTTCAGTGCGAATATATCATTTCGCTTCTATCGTTCGTTGTGATCAATTCAGTGATTTAGTGAGACTTTGATAATTTTATTTCGAGAATTTAACTAATACTCTCGCAATATGGCAAACAAGAATGAAGTGAGCATTGAAAAACGTGTGAAAATACAGGTTCTTCATGAACAAGGGAAGTCCCAAGTAGACATTGCGAAAACAGTGAAGTGTTCGCATCGATGTGTACAATACACTATTCAGCGATTCGCTCAGACCGGTTCACATAACGATAGACCTATAAGAGGCCGCAAACGCATCGCCACAGATCGTGAAGACAGAGTATTGACCAGAGAGTCTTTGAAAAAGAGGAAAAAAACTTCTATTGTCCTCGCTGCCGAGCTATCAGCGCAGACTAATAGACCAATTTCTACCCGAACTACTCGCAGAAAGCTTCAAGAAGCTGGTCTAAATGGCCGCAAAGCCGGAAAGAAGCCATGGCTCTCAGACAAAAACAAGAAGGCTCTGTATGATTGGGCTTTATAATACAAAAACTTCACTGAAGAGGATTGGTCAAATATTGTATGGTCAGACGAATCAAACTTTGAGGTACGTTAGTTGATTTGATGCAGTAACGAGATGTAACAATAATTTTTGAAACAAATTGTATCAATAAATTATTCAACTAACCAACTACTTAATATTTCTTAATTTTTCAGATTTTTGCTACACCTAGTGTGACATTTGTTCGTCGTCGAGTAGGAGAAGAATTCAATCAGGAGTGTGTGGTGCCTACTTTGAAACATGGTGGCGGCAGCGTAATGGTCTGGGGCTGCATGAGTCGGAAAAATGTCCGTGTGTGAGGGTCGCATGGATTCCACAAAGTACATAAACGTACTTGAATGTGCTCTTTTGCCGTCGTTTACCGCACTTTATGGTGATACCAACATGAATGGTGTCAAATTCCAGCAAGATAATGCGCCTTGCCACAAAGCTGCACGGACAAAAAGGCTTGGTTCAGAGAAAACTGTATCGAGCTTCTGGGTTGGCCTGCCCAGTCACAAGACCTGAGTCCGATTGAACATTTGTGTAACTTATTAAAACGCATGATCAGGCGTCACACAATCAACACAGAAGAAGAGTTAAAGCGCCGCCTACGTGAAGAATGGAACGCTTTAACTTACGAAGAATGTAATAAACTTGCACGATCTTTACCTAGAAGAATTTCTGCTGTACTTAAGGTGAAAGGAGGTCCCACAAAATATTGATTTTCTTCTCATAATAAGACATTTATGACTATAAAAAATTCTGTCAATTTTATCCAATATAATAGTCCCCTAAAATTGAAAGATATCGAGGGTGCTCAATACTTTTGGCCAAGGCTGTATACAGCTTCTTTGCATGTTGTATTTTTTTGTATCTCACTTCGTTTTCGAGAAAAAAAAAACCGTTTTATTGCATGTCACCGCACACAATTGGTTTATTAATTTTTTCTAAAAAAAAACCACGAGTGCCTTGCAAAACAAAAAATAATCTCTGCATGGAGGTTCTTCTAGAAAAGAATTATTCACGTAATTTTCTTTGCGAAAGTTTTTGTTTCGGTTTTTGCGATGGAAAATTATCTACACTTTTGACGAAATGGCTGTCATGCATCTAATGTATGCACGTGCTTATATTTACTGTTACGGAGCGAGACTCCTGTATGCAGAAGCGTTTCCCCATCGGCAACTTCCAGATAGTAAAAGCTTTGAAAGCGTAGACCTTAGATTACGGGAAAGAGATAAATTTTCTTATTTCTTTTTCGTGATGTTTTTGACGATAATATTATTTAGGCCGGCCAAGGTCCGTGAGAACGCCCGAGTTTGACAAGGCAGTTTTACGTGCAGTGGAACAAAATCCTGGTATCAGTACCAGGACTATAGCAACTAGATTAGAGGGTAATCATTCCAACACCACTGTGTTGCAGGTTCTCTTCGAGCAACTTTTATATCCCTATCATGTCCAACGTGTGCCAGCATTATTATCTAGAGATTTTCTATCTAGTTTCCAGTTTTGCCAATGGTATTACCAAAAGGTTAATAATAATAGGAATCTTAATAAATCCATACTTTTTACGGATGATTTCGGCGGGATGGTATTGTTGATTTCCTCAACACTCATGTATGGAGTGACAAAAGTCCTCATGCTTACGTACAATATCGCCACCAGGAACAATTTTCTTCAAGTGTATGGATGGGTGATGTTGGTGACAATTTAATTGGTCCTTTTTTTTACCCTTAAGATTAAACGACGAATCTTACTTAGAGTTTCTTCAACAAGAATTGCCCGTACTGCTAGAAGAAGTTCCTCTAAATGTACGTAACCAAATAACTTTTATGCACGATGGAGCTCCTCCTCATTTCAGTACACGAATCAGAAATCATCTGAATAACACCTTTGCTGAAAATTGGGCTGGAACCAATATCACTGGCCACCTC